ATATATATATTGTAATATATATGTAATATATATTTTGCAATATATATATATATATATATAAAAACAGAGAACGATAGTTCAGCATAACCACGTGAAATTAGCGCGATATAGCAGATTCTCTGTATAATTATTTTATAATTTATTATATTTATATATTTGTATCTGTAACTCATCCTTTCTCCCCTTCTCTCTCTGTGCGTAGCGCATGCATACATGTGTATAAATTTACTCGTTCTTTAATTAAATGAAACTATTATTATGTGTAGAGACCAATCATGCTATATATTAAACATCAAATCATTGAATTTCAACTCGATTGAATATAGACGTAACATTGAAGAAAATACTTATTTGATTAGCTTTTAAAAGCAAATTTCGAAAATATTTAATCGTTCTCGATTGTTCCGTCATAGTCCTGATCAGTATCGTTACAGTCAATCATCATTATAATATTAATATTAATAATACTAATAACAATAACAATAATTGTCATTATTATTATTATTATTGCGTTGTCATCGTCGTCGCCATCGTCGTCATCGTCATCATCGTTATCGCTACGTCTTCGTGTGTTTCTGCGTACTAGAACGTACACAAGACATATACTTTCGCTGATCGGGATTAAAGGATGTGAAATTGCGTCGATATTTTTTACGGTCACATCGTCGCGTTTTTTAATCGATAATATGAGTTCAATTAGGTAACGTGTCATACAATATATCCTTGGCGCTTTGTGTTAAAGTTTCAGGAAATTTGATATCAAATGATACAAGAAGATCGCCCTTTCGTGATGGTTCTTTGGGGAAAGGTAAACCATGTCCTTGGAATCTTTTGACCGAATTCGGCTTAACAATTTCTCTCGTCAGATTCAAAGGTATCTTTTCGCCAGTTAGAGTAGGAACTTCGACGATAGTACCGCACAAAGCTTGCTTTAAGCTCAGTTTGCACGTATATCTAATGTCACTGCCTTCTCTCCTGAATAGCGAATGCGGCTTGTCTCTAATGATAAAAACGATATCCGCAGGTTCCCTCCTCGGTGATTGATCACCTTCCTTTTGGAAAGTGATTTTAGTACCAGCTTTCCAGCCTGGTTTTACATTGATAGTAAGTAGTTTATCCTCCTTTTTGGTGCTACCATCTGGCTGTATGGCTCGTCTGCATATCTTCATTTTCTTGGTGCAACCTCGTAAAATTTCCTCCAAGCTGATATACAAATCATGTTCGATCGCTGGATCTTGAGCGCGATCTTTGCCAGTCCCTTTACAAGTATTCGGACTCGCAAAGTTAAACGAATGTGATCTAAAGGCGCCCCCTTGTCGTGGTGGTCCCATGCCACCGAGTCCAAAGGGATCCATATCAATATCCATGTCGTCATCATGGAAGGCAAATCCTCCGCGATTACCAGCGAACTCAAACAAGTTGTGGAAAGGACTGGCCGAGCCAAAGAATTGTGCAAACGTCGCTCTGGGATCACCGTGGAAGGTATATGTGGCACCTCCTCCACCTCCGCCAGCCGAGGCACCCCCTTTGAGACCTTCCTCACCAAATTTATCATAGACTTCCCTCTTTTTTGCATCAGATAACACCTCATATGCCTCAGCTATTTCCTTGAATTTTTCCTCAGCACCAGGACTCCTGTTCTTGTCAGGATGATATCTCAAGGCCAATTTTCTATAAGCCTTTTTTATCTCCTCGTCGCTCGCTCCCTTGGCGATGCCAAGTATTTATAGTAGTCCTTTCCCATCTCCTTCTCGCCTATTATTTCTGAAACAGTATACAAACTATGTAGCATATCGTTTTAATATATATAAGTTCCAATCCTAAATTTCCACACACCCTTCAGTTACAGTGTCTTTCTTTTTATCTTTATCCTTCCATATGTGTAGTACGACATGTTTATGTTATTACAAAGTAAGTCATGGTCACTTTTTTTCTTTTTTTTTTTTGTACAAAATTCGCAATGTTCTTTTATGAGAATCAAAAATTTGTAAAATTAATCAACACATAATCAATGGAGCAACAGTTATGGATATTGACTTTTCTTCTTTCAGGATATAAACTATGAGATATATCTTGGTAAATTACTATTCTTTTAAATTATTTTAATTTTGATGTATTAATTTTAAGTTTCTCACATATCTACCATTATACTAGTTGGATGGTTTACCATCCACGAGTCACGTGCGTGTCATACTTCCGTTAACGCGATGCGCTTTCACGCGATAAAACTCTCCAGTGTTGAATGAAACAAGGAGTACGTGATCCTGATGATTCAAATCATGAAGATGTAGGAGAAAGGGAGGAAGGGAAGGAGAACAAGAAAGAGAGAAATCATACTTTCGGAATTATGAGCTTTCGTACACTCGTTTGCTCGCATCGCATTTATCATATCGATGACGTACCAAGCCATTACAAAGTTCTCGCGAGCGCGACAATGCAATTCGACTATCGTTCGCCACGCGATTTCCTTCCTCCATTTTTTTCGCGTCAAGTCTTCGAGTCTCGAATGATGGAGAAACGTCGGAAATCAACGGTCCAACACACCCACGTATGTATCACCGATATCTATTTCTGGCAATGATGACTGCGAATACGCGACGAACGTTTCGTTCTTTCGCACGATTCGAGCTGCAACGCAAAAATAAATACCCCACCCTTGGATTAAGTTCCATGTCGTTGCTATTGTCGTAGTCGTAGTTGTAATCGTAATCGTAGTCGTAGTCGTAGTCGTAGTCGTAGTCGTAGTCGTAGTCGTAGTCGTAGTCGTAGTCGTAGTCGTAGTCGTAGTCGTAGTCGTAGTCGTAGTCGTAGTCGTAGTAGTCGTAGTCGTAGTCGTAGTCGTAGTCGTAGTCGTAGTCGTAGTCGTAGTCGTAGTCGTAGTAGTCGTAGTCGTAGTCGTAGTGTAATCGTAGTCATAGTTGTAATCGTAATCATCGCGTTGTAATCACTATTCCATTTCTCAGTTATGCGCGCGGCAAACTCAATTAACGCTCTTATGTATGTGACGACAAGAGATCTACGCGACAAACATACGTGAAAAATATGCGATCGACTCACAAACAGGTCACAAGGTTGCAGATCATTGCTAATAAATATAAAGCAACTTGAATCTCATCTCTCTTGTGTCTCGTTAATTTTGATCGTTACTTACTATTTTTCGTTCTGTAATTGCTTCTTAAGTATGTATACACGATTTGCGCGGACACTTGAAATTCAAAAACATGTACGTTTGCCCATATAAAAATTCACAAAGAATCTCAGTCCAAACGATTATCAAGCTCAACGTTCCCATACGCGTACCAAACTGTACTAAACTGTCGCGTAACCTCGCCATCCATATATATACATATATATATATATACACATACATATCAACTTTCCATCTACCAGCTTCCGGAACTTTCGAGAATGAATCGACGCAGCTTCGCAGCACTTTAAGCGCTCCTCCAATGACGTCACCGACGTCAACCGGATAACTTTTCGCGCCAATTTTTGAATCTAAGCGCGTGGTATGGTTTCTCATATTATTTAGTTTTAGCTCAATTTATATTTATCAATATTTCGAAAATATGAAAAAAATAAAGGTCGAAATGAGCGTTGAATTATCATAATTAAAAACGACATCGCTTATTATGAATCATTTCATCAGGTATGAAAAGATTTTATTTAATTATCTGCTTAAACGTAAAAACAAAGCGTGCTTGCATTCTCGTGAATTTGGCGGTGCATATTTGTCATAAAAATCTTGAACAAATTCTTCCACTTTAAAACCAAATTTTTGGTACAATATTAAAGCTGGATTCGTAGCCGACACATGTAATGTAACATCCTGTCCCATGCAAGTTTGTATCAAATGATACAACATGAACATGCCGATGCCGGACTTTCGCCACTCCGGACGTGTCAAAAGAAATGAAATATAGGCTTCGTTATGGCCAACGTATGGTACCAATATCGCGAAACCTACAACTAATTTTTTATATAGTACAACGCACGTGAAGTCTGGATATTGCAAACATTCGGTCACTAAAACAGATAAAAGCACAAAACGATACTTTGAATATTACTTGGTCAACTTTAAATACCTAATAAGGTTTTTTTGTCGAATAATATTACTTACAGTCTATACCAGGCCAGAAGAACTGATTACAAAGACTGTTGATCGCAGGGATATGTTGTGGTTTAATGTAAGAATAATCGACTGTTGCTTTAGGCGTCGGTTTCCATCGTGGATCATTTCGATTTACTTTTGTACACAATTCTTCCATAATTTTCAACCACAATGGCTGGCAATCAGTATCTCGTCTTATAAACGGTTTCAAAAGTCTACCTGTATATGGACTATGGACAAACGTAGGTTCGTTGTAACCCTGCAATCTTTGTTCAAAAGTATATTCTTGATCATCGCTAAAAAATCTATCCAATATTCGATTGTTGTTTATTAATAATGTAGATATTTTTGATTTGGATTCAAAACAATCGACGTCCAATAAAGCAAGTCGATATTCTCTTTTCGTTTTTCGTACCGCTAATTTTCTGTATAATCTTCTAATAGTTGGCGGGGCTTTGTCAAGATCAGTCTTGCCGAGACTTTGTAATAAATACATTTCTTCCGTAGGAGTAACGCATGTTATGTTTTCATCTGAAATATACATATGTGTATATGTGCGCGCATGAATGTATGCGCACGCGTGCATAGAGAGAGAGGGGGGGGGAGAGGAGATTTCGGGCACGTAATTTACAATAAAAAACAATTACAAGTAATAAACGATTTGAACCAAGGTCGTTGACGACGTTTTGTTTCTTTAAACAAAGAGACTGGAGGCTGCTCTTGTATGGAAATGGGACCATCATTATTATCCTCCTTATATCCTTTTTCCTTAATTGTTTTAATTTCATTGTCACTATAGTTTGGCGATAAAGTACTCGTATCGCACAACCAATCACAGTTATTCATTAGCTGTGTCAGATGAAAATTGTTACCATCATTTTGGCAATCACGTATTAAATCGGATATAGAGAGAACGTCGTTGCCTAATATTATATCATCCTCGATATTCATATCTAGAAAATATAATTCTCTTGATATAAGCATCATTTGTTTCTTATGATTTCTATGAATTACCATTTGGTTCATCTTCCTCCAACAGAAAATCGGATAGTGTCTCTGTTGGTTGAACATATGCATGAGAATACATAGAGGAGCCTTTATTTTTACATATTTCTCCACTACAATTACTATCCTCTCCAAATGAGAGGCTGGAATCTGATGGCACTGGACTGTTCAATAATTTACGAGGTAATTTTATATTATGTTTTTTTCTATCCATTATCATTTTGCTATCTGGTAAAAAAGATTATGTTATTATTAATATTGTTATTACTGATTTATAAATTAAACATTGTACGTATATGCACACGCGCATGTATAATACTGCTATTTGTTGATGATATATTACTTTTGGCAATTAAAACTTCAGGAGGATCATTACTTGATAGTTTCCACCATCCAGATTCTCCTAATTCATTAGTACCAGACTTAAAAAAAATGCCACTGTAATGAGATAATGTACCCGATATGGTACCCATCCAATTCTTTTTTTTCTTCCTAAGTAATGTTAAGTTTATAATTTTAAATTCCGTCAACATAATATAAATACAGCTGATACAAATTATAACATGAAATACTTACACAGTTTTCTTAAATAAGTAATCCCAATTTCTCTCCACAAAAATACTGATATCAGATTTCCAATGGAAGTAGCCTCTCTTACTAATGCCGCTTGATCTTTCACGTAGATTATAAAGCGTCAGGACAATAACATTAAGCCATGGCATTCTATCGCGCACGACCGTTTCTTCATCTAATGGATTGCAAGAGGCACAATTAAGTTCGAAAAAAACATCTCCTACGAAAGAAACTGGAATGCTGCCTCTCTTCAAACATTTCATATGTATCCTTGTGCCACATCCGCCACTACAACGTAACGTTGGTTTGTCATAGGGATCGCATACTTCTCCACACTTCTTGCATTTTTCGATGGTCTCATTCAAATTCATCATGTTTTCCACGTGTTGTTCGATAGCTTCCGACATCTTATAATTTTTTCTTCTTGCAAGAATACAATTTGCGAACACACAATTCACTTAACCTTTATTATATAAATTTCTGATCTCTATTCCGAAAGTTAGTACATTATGCAAATTGGAATTCTTTCGCTACTATTTTATATGTATTTGCGACATGCAGAAAAGAACAAAAGTATATCCATCTGTAATCTTGCACGATTATGATGCAGCAGCAACGTACAGCGTGCAACATGCAGCGTACAGCGTCATGCGACAATGGATCAGTGATGCCACGTGTACGGTGATACACACGATGGCATGATAAATATGAGGGAATGCGAGTTGTGATGAAAATCTAGGAAATTGAATGTATTATTTTACGTATATTACGAATAATCATGTTCATAAAAGTTGACTTTTTTTTATTTGAAATATACAGTTTTTATTATAAGAATACTGTATAAAATATATAGGTTACAAATTTACCAAAGAGATTTTGGCATATTTTTTGGGAGTTTAATATTATCGGATCACTTGTGCTGTCAAATGTCCCTTTAAATTTTCATTTTAATAAGAATTACAATTTTAAAACATAGATCTCCAAAAATAGAAGCTTAGTAAATTATGTAATTAAAAGTCAAGGTGAGCACAGACGAAAGCATGGTTGATTAAATATTAAGATGTACAAGAATGCATATAATAATGATTCCATTTCGCATTTATTTATGCTAATATCATTTTCAAATACATCTGATTTTTTTAAAGTCGTACCAGAAAAAAATACTAGATCAAATTTATAGAATCACAAATCATCAGCTACATATATATAGCTAACATTATGTATAGATCAGTCCATTTAACATAACATATATGCATTGGATATAACACAAAAATCACGATTCATCTCAATCTACTCGATTTCGATATCGATCATTGAATATAAAATATATATGTAATTTAAAATATATGCCATATAAAGTCGATACGTTCATTAATAAATACGAATATATGAAACTGACGAATAATAAATGACTCGATATCATGTTCCTGCTTAACAGCAGTTCTGAGGTAAACGGGTCATCGATATTACCTGGCACATTCGTTTATTCAGGTAAAAGAGATGTATGCGTTTTCTCACAGGTCTATAGTCTTGTAAAATAACTGCTACTCGATTAAATGCAGGTACCTTGACGCGTGACGTGTAGTTTACGAATTGTTTTATTTTCTATATAATTAATAGAGCCTCTTTTCGTAAGAAAATAGGCTATGTACGTTGCCCTCTTGTTGAGCCGAATGTGTTCTTCTTTCAAATTTCAATTCTCCATTATACATCATGGATCGCAAGACGGTAAGCGACTTGGCCCCAATATCTTGACAACCATGTTTGATGCCACAAGTTAAATAAGGTAAAAATTTCAGCACCGAACCCTTATCCACTATGGAGCCACTGACACCTTGAGCTACTTTTAGTTTGTCCATTTCGTTATGAAAATATCTGTCCATCGCTGAACCCTTGGCGTCCTTCCTATCCATGGCTTCCAATGAACCCATCCCTCTGTATTTTTTCAGACGAACTCCATCGCTAAAAAAATACTCGCCCGGAGCCTCGGACGTTCCAGCTAACAGAGAACCCATCATAACTGTACTAGCGCCTAAACTGAGACCTTTGATGATATGGCCAATGGACTGGATACCACCGTCCGCTATGACGGGTATTCCAAATTTTCTGGCATATTCGGAAACTTTATAGACGGCTGTCGCTTGTGGCCGTCCTACAGCCATTACCTCCTGTGTTATGCAGATGGAGCCAGAACCCATTCCAACGCGTAACGCATCAGCTCCCGCCTCTATAAGATTCTTAGCTTGCATTGCAGTCACGATATTACCAGCGATTACTTGTAAATTTGAATATTGTAACTTAATATATTTGATCATATCGATTTGATATGTGGAATTGCCCTGCGATGAATCCAATACCACTACGTCCACGCCAGCAGCTACAAGCAATTCCAGTCGGTGCTTGTCCGTCTCTCGCGTTCCTATTGCAGCTCCTACTAACAACTGTTTGTTCTCATCCTTGCTAGCATTTGGATAACTACGATTCTTCTTGAGATCAGTCCTCGCCATCAGGGATACGAGTTCTCCTCGTTCATTGATGATGGGAAGCTTTCCTTTTTTTGACTTTTCCAAAATGACATTTGCCTCTTGCAATGTTACACCAGCTGGTGCGGTGATTAAATTTTCAGAGGTTGTCATTATGGAGCTAAGAGAATTACAAGTAGGCAAACATTCGAGGAAATCGATATCTCTAGAGGTGACAATGCCTAGCAATTTACCACCAACTTTACCCGTGTCGGTAATGGGTACTCCACTAAAACCATGTTCAGCCTTGACATTCAAAACATCATTGACTGTATGATGTGGCGCCAATACAACTGGATCCCTAATAAAACCATGTTTATATTTTTTCACCTATAAACAAAAATGACGAGCTTAAGTGTTGATAAAACAAGTGCGTTTAATACAGTCATCTCTGAGTTACACATAATAAAGTGGAACATTGCAGTATTCAATCTGATCAAAGTATATATAATTTGCATAAGTATATATAATTTAATATAATTTCCACCGTAAAACATGGTAATTGTAGAAATGCGATACCTTGTGCACTTCGTTGGCTTGATATTCGGGAGTACAATTGTGATGTATAATACCGATTCCGCCAGATAGAGCCATAGCGATAGCCATATCAGATTCAGTGACGGTGTCCATGGGCGAGGATACAAGAGGTGCCTTTAGCATAATTTTCTGGTTAGCGGTGACAATAAATCGACTTCATCTGCAGTAAAATCGATGTAACCCGGCAATATGATAAAGTCATTGTAAGTAAGGCCGTCACCCGCGGCAAATAGCTGAGCAGCTGATAACCCATCGTTCGGCAGCGGTACGTCTGTTGGCTTTACATCGCCCAATACATAATCTGCCATAATTTTCTGTCACGCTTTCAGTCCAAAATCCCGTGTTTGATATCAATTGTTTCAACGTTACTTTTCAACGTTATTTTTCAACGTCGACTCCGAGGAAACCAACAGAAGGAGTAAAGATTCACTAAGCCAAGAACACGTGCGCACATACATTTGAAGCAGGGCACAAGCTGAGACTGAAAACTGAGGCTTCAGTTTTAGTACCCTCGCTGTTAGTACTGAAAATCTATAATATACGTGACCTGAATTATATATTTTCAGTACTGGCAGTGAATATCGGAACGCAGCCTTAGGGTGCCGTCACATGCGGCATAACTTGTGTAAGTGTAATCTGCGTATTCTAATAATTTACTAAACACGTTACACCATTCTGAAAGTCTTCTTTCACATAGAGCGTATTTCGCGTAATTTCGAGAAATGCGTAATTAATACCAATTGCTGATTAGGATTTCTGTTGTACTCTCTAACAGAAATGCTTTGTGATTGGTTTTTGTAATCTGCGTATCTGGAAAAGTACATTTCATGGGAAACCGAGACTTTATATATATATATGTGTTATATATATATGTGTACGAATAAGTCAAGTAGATGCGAACCTAATCTGTGCGAACGTATTTAGAAGTCATCATGGACCTTGATCTGTTGTTTTAATAATATGGAAGCGATGGCAAAAGTGGAAAAAGATGAAACAATCTCAACAACATAAAATTAGACGATATAATATATTAAAATTGTTTGGAATATAGAAACTGATGGTATATCAACAGTAAAAAGCTCGTCATAGAATGTAGGTGCGTCCAATATTCGCAGAAAGACGAAGATTATTACAGAGTGACAGTGACAATCTGATCAAAGAAATGGAATTTGAAGATTACGAAATGTTCTATAATTATTATAGAATGTCCATAGAAATGTTTAATCAGTTGTTAGATATTGTTGAGCCACGCATTAAAAAATATTATAAATTATTAATATATATATATATATATATTATTAATTAATTCGATATGAAGCTATTTAATTAATTATTATTATATTAATTAATTAACTTACTCTGATTTGATCTTTATTTATTTTGTCGAAAAACTCTGATTATTCTGATTATTCACTATATATATGTGTGTGTGTGTGTGTGTGTGTGTGTGTGTGTGTGTGTGTGTGTGTGTGTGTGTGTGTGTGTGTGTGTGTGTGTGTGTGTGTGTGTGTGTGTGTGTT